GACAGGAAGATGGAGATATGGCGAGGAGAGGGGGATATGGAGAGGAGGAGGAGGATGTGGACGAGGAGGACGACGAGGAGGGGGAGTCGAGATGGGGCAGGAGAAGAGATGGACGGAGGGAAAAGAGGAAGGGCAGGAGGAGGAGGATGAGTGGGAGGAGGAGGAGACATGGACGGCGAGGAAGGGGAGGACGCGAGGAAAGGAAGGAGACGAGGAGGAATGGAAGATTAGGAAGTGCGAGGAGGAGGAGGAGACGAGGAGGAGGAGGAAGGGCAGGAGGAGGATGAAAAGGAGGAGGAGGAGGAGGAGGAGGAGGAGGAGCAGGAGGAGGAGACGAAAAGGAGAAGGGAGGAGGAGACATGGAGGATGAGGAAGGGGCAGTACTCCTGTAAATTGTTTTTTCATCTCGCTTATAATTTTGGCACGGGGCCTCAAACGCATCGTTTTGACCCCGGCCTTTTTTTTTCTGAGGGGGGTGACGGGTCGTTCCCCGCACACGTCGTGTGCCGCACGGGATCGGTTGGGAGCGTGCGCCACACGTAGGGAACCGCCCACACGACGTGCGCTTGCAAATATGGGTTAGACTGTTTGTACAAGCAGGGATTGGTTCCATCTCCTTGCTCACCTCCGAATACGCTGAAGAAGCATGCTCATTAAGATGCCGCATGATCCCTAAGGCATCATTCCCTTCTTCCAGCAAAAGCCCAATGTTAGGGTACTGCAGTAGAAGCACACACAATCAACCATCCTCGACATAAGCCTGGAGAAAAATACCAACCAGCTGTCAAGAACAAACAGCGACGACCTTCTTGGCCAGCCAATGACTCCAGCTATACAACAACTGGCAAGTGATATCGTTAGCAACGCAATCCATTTAGCAACAACTCGTATATCCATGTGAACACAGGGGCCAATCCGGCCGGGAGGTTTTTACCACACACTCCCACCTCCAATGGGAACAGCAGCCATATTCGGCACAGGATGAACCCGGCCCCCGCCATCGCCCAAGTCCCTTTCAACAACTCGTAAATCCATGCGAACACCAGAGGACCACAAGGCCCAGCCCCTTGGCGGTCACACTCCCACCTCCAATGATGGCAACAGCATCCGTATTCATCACAGGACGAACCCTGGCCCCGCCATCGCCCAACCCCTTTTCTACACTGTGGGAGAAGGAACCTCGCAAGATGTGATCAAATCTGGTTCCTCTCAAGTGCTTTCACAGTGTTTCCGCAGACATTATTGCGGCGTGTTGTTCGCACCTTCTCTTTGCATCCAATCGCCACGAGAATAGCATCCCCGTGTGTGCTGCATTTGTGTGCGACAGCCAAGAACGGCAGTTTTGTCAGACTTACACTTAAAAACTCGCTCCGAGTTTGAACTTTAACAGACGGCGCAGAGTACATCAAACGTTACGTTGCCGATAGATATCCTTCAAAGGACCGGAGTCACGGGACTTTAGTATCATTGGCCCTATGATCGATCCGACTTTGCTGCCTCTTCAGACTTCCACCACCAATGACCGCCTCTGTACGTCTCAGGTTGGGATCATCCTTTTTTTTTTTTTCAATTTGGACCATTTCTTAATTTATGCGTGTCATTCATCCTTTGAAGCGCAGGCGCCATGCTAATCACTCTTCTCTGTATCGTTCCAATTTTAACGGGTGTACCAAAGGACAGGTGGGATCATTCTCATGTCATCATCTCAATATAATTAAGTCCCGAGTATCGCTGGAAATACTCCCAGACATCATTCCACCTACATAACAGAACCGAGTTTCAGAGCATGGCAACAGAAACCACTGAATCCTAGACACACTTTTTTGAAGTTTTTTGAACTTTTTTTCCATCCCCACATATTATGTGCTTCAGTCACTTTACTGTGTTGTGGATTTTCACCACCACAGCCCACAGCCAATGGTCTACCCAGATGAGTAGATCCAATGTCGATGCAGCTCTAGCTCTACTGCAGACAATGAAGCAACACTTGACATGAGCCATTCCCACAATGAAGCAGTTTTACCTCTAAAGCAAAGCAAGCAACATGCAGCAGAATAAATTGGTAATATGACGATACTAATACTAGTCTAATAGCACTTTCTTGACTTTCTTCTTCAAGTTTCTTTACTTTGGCTTTCTTCGGGGTACCCTTTTCTCTCTGTGTTATAGCAGCTCCGTTTTAAGTTTTTATTACTTTTTAACGTGCCTCTCACGTACAAGGCTGGGCATGTTGATTGTGGTTAAGTGCCAGCTGGCTGCTTATCAGTGCACTTGCACATTTCGAAGGAGGCAGAGTAAACGGGGAGGGATACGCCTGTTCATTTTTCTTCAGATCTTCAGCTTATATTTTGTCTGTTCTCTTAACGATGCTCATTCGCATGAATTTACTAGCAGCACACAAGAGAAAGGAAAGGGGGGGGGGGGGGGGCAGTTCTGTAGGAAGCGAGGGGCAGGGGAGGGAGAAGAGGTAGAGGAGGGAACACCGAGGGGCAAAGAACAGAACAGAGGAAAGACAAATACTCACCGCTGGAGCAGACTGCTTTAGACTAGGACAAGAGGACCGATGGAATTGGTGTGTCATGCAATGACTGGTAAACCGTAGGGTGAGTATGGGAAAGAAAAGTTGAAAGACGAAACGGCAAAGCCGAAGGTGATGTCTGCAAAAAAAAAAGGCAATGTTTGACGTGTATTCCAGCATAACGGATAAGTAACTGAAGAAGAAAAAGGAAACGTGTTGCAACACGGGAAAAAATCTGGAGAGATTTACAAAGCACCGTGCAGAAAGGAGAGAGACAAACAGAGCACAGTGTGGAGAGGGAGATATATAATTGTACACACACACACACACACACACACACAGAGAGAGAGAGAGAGAGAGAGAAAGAGAGAGAAAGAGAGAGAGAGAGCAGCGCACAGAGAAAGAAACAGAACACGTGCGGTGCAGAGGGAGAGTGAGAGAGAAACAAAGCACAGGGTGCAGAGAAGAAACAGAGCACAGTACAGAGAGAGGGAGAGAGAGAGAAAGGGCACAGAGAGAGAGAGAGAGAGAGCAACTCACAAACATGTGATAAGGATATCCAAGCGTAGGACCAGCCAGTATGCCATGCTATTGTCTGTGATGCATAGTATGCTATGCTATCAGTAGACGATGTACTATACTGTGCGGCTGCTTTGCTAGACATCCATGTTCTCTTTTGCTTTTCTGTATTGTGCTCTGCTACTCTCCACCGTGCTACAATGTGGTGTTCTGCTGCCCTTGCAACCTGAACAAGGTATTATACTTTGAGTCAAGTCCCTTTCATTTGGTATGCTCTACAGCACACCAATAAAACAGCAGAGTTAGTTTCAATTCTTTCGAAGTAAGAAGCCAAAATCACAGCGTCAGTCCGCAGTCCGATATTTGGGCCACAGAACCCACTGCAATGAGCCAAATGCCGATCACATGCTTCAGTTAATACATGTCAAGAGCTTCGCAAGGAGCAATTGGGAAAGAAAATAGATGACACTTCCTGTTTTGGAAAAATCGGAAGGCGAAAATGATCCCGAGAAGAGAAACAGACCTAATCGAACCTAAATACGCAAATAAACACAGAACGCTTGCAAAACGCACCCCACATGCTACAATTACATGCCAAGCACAACAACTCCTGTTTCGGAAAAACTGGAAGGCGAAAATTATCACAAGAGAAAGAGAGAGAGAGAAAGAAAGTTTGAGAAACAGACCTAATTGAACCTAAATACGTAGACAAACACATGCTTCCAAAAAGCACCTCACATGCTACAAGCCTACAATTACATGCCAAGTACTCAGACAGGGATACTTAGCTGCCAAAGAAATGGACAGACACCTGCTGCTGGCAAAATCAGAAGGCTGAAGACAACAGAAGAAATAACACCCAAACAAACTGAACCCCTTCAACTTCCATAAATACAAAACCCTTTCAGCAGGCCCTTAAAACACATCCAACGAGCGACAGCACCCCGCACGACTTCTGGCTGACATAGTTAACTGACCTCTGAAAATGACGTCCGACCTATCGCACCAGAAGCAATCAGTTGGTTCGCACCCCCTTCTTTCATTGTTGCACAGTCCTTTGCAGCATCTGATGAAGGCCAAGGTTTCCAAATCCCTGAAGGAGATCCTGTGTAGTTATTCTCGTTACCTGCCGCCGACCCAAGGCAGGTCCCACTGAGAAAAACACAAACAGCATCCGCAACAAAAAACAGCTTAGAGAACATGAAGTAGCCCCTTTCTTTTTCCTTTTTCTTTTTCTTTTTCTTTTTCAAAATGGGTGAAGCCATGACAGAATTAAGATATCATCTTTCAACTGGCCCAGGTAAATTCAGAGTTACTTTTACTCATCTGATTCCATTGGAATTCAAATTCAGGTCCGTATTTCAAAAGTGGATGGGCCCCTTTCTCGGGGGAGCGGGACTTCAAAACCTCAACCTGCACCAATTCTCATGGAGTTTTCGAGCCATTCGCTGTTTGCTACCAGCGGATGCAAACCTTGGACCTGTAGGTGGAATCTCTGTGAGCCTTCTAGAACGATAGATCTACGGGCGACCTGGTAGAACTAGGTTGGAAAGCAGCTCGTCGCAAGCAACAAGCTGGGCGGCAGAAACGCCAATCTTTTGAGTTGGACAGTTTGCTTGAGTGGTAAGAAGAAGTAGGCACTATTTTCAGTGCTAATAGCAGGCGGGAGAACCGGCGCAGCCCTACCGTCTTAACCCGAAAACAAGGTACGTAGCTTGTATTCAAGTTACCTCTGAAATTTTGGTTCCGAGAAATCGTTGTTAAGTTTTCGAATAGAAGGTACCATCGAATACAAGGCACATACCGTGTATTCGAATACAAGCTACGCACCTTGTATTCTAGGCATGCCTTGTCTGAGATATTTTGGGGTGTTTTTTTTTTTTTTTGCTGTAATCTACTCATGACCTGTGCAAAAGACAAAACGCAACGGTGTATCTTTCCATGTTGTAGCAGAAAATCCACTCCCGATTTGCACATGTCTGAGGCCCAGACTCTGAAGTCTACCTCACACGAGCTCAAGAACATCACGCCGCTGTGGAACCAATGTGTTCTTTTCCAAAAGGGAAAAAAAGATCTCCATGCTGCAAGCTGCAGCCCTGTTCCGGTAGCGCTCGACGCTCGTCCTGATAGCGGCTGGCTGTATTCTATTCCTGAAGAAACCAATTGGCATGGAGGGTCTACAACCTCAGTGATAGCTTGTGGCCAGTAGATTTTACAAGGAACAGGCGGAGCATTTGGGATCAGTGCTGGTTGAGGGAGGGAAAAGTATAGTCATAAAAATATTTGTGTTAATAATCAAATTAAAGAGCAAGTCTGGCTACGAGGAGATCTTCTACTAGGGACATGTAACTGCACCAGATGGCATGAGACCAGAGGCCAGGAAAGTTGAAGTGGTAGCACACTGATCAAAACCCTAGACAGTCGCTGAGCTCGCCGAGGTGCGTTCATTTCTTGGCTAGCAGGAGATCTAGTACAAGGATTTCATCAAAGTTTGTACCACAGTCACTGTACTGTTAACACAATCTAACCGGTACGCATATTCCATTTACATGAACTGCAGAGTGTGAGGAGGCTTTTCACACCCTCAAGGACCATCTCATCACGACAATCTCAACGGTAAGCATACCATATCCTGAAGACAACAGACCCAATGGTGCCCTTCCTTTTGACAAAAGATGCCTGCCACTTGGGAGTGGAGCTGTGCTGCAGCAAGGTGACGGCCATGGGCTCACACCAGTGGAGTGACTCTGCAAGCACATGACATCGAAATGGGTTCGCCGGCCAGTGGAGTACCTCTCCGAGTGCATGCCAATGAAGAGGGTCACCTGCAGTCCTTACAAGAGAGAAATATACGCCGCATGTCATGCTCTCCGTACATGGAGATATTGCTTGTTGGGGTTACTATATAGAATTCCAACCTGACGGTTGCCTGGGAGTGCCTTTTCCACTCACTGATTTTTCCCAATCTTCTACAGTTTGGCCAGTGATTCCAAGCGGAATTTTGTCTGGTTTCGCCCTTAAACGTTTACCCAGATCCCTTCCCGCGATCTTGAATACTTGAGCTCTAGTTCCAAGTTTGAATTACCTTTCAAGGCGTATTCTGTTCACCAATCGCTGCTGTGGTTGAATCCTCACCCCCAGCCTTCAAACAACCTTGCAAGGCGGTCAGCAATGATTGAGACTTGTGACCTCAACTATAGGCAGCAGGGGAGGTACAATAGGTGGCAGACGCGTTTTCATGAAAGCAGACTACTTTGGCACCATCCAGTCTCAGATGAAAGTCGGCGAGAAGCTGGTAGACAAGATTGCAGAATTTTATGCATCAGACCTGTCAACAGCACAATACGAAGAAGAACAAGGTCGCCCTCCAAGGTGCCGACAGGACAGCTTGTTATTGAGAGAAGAGGGGCGCACAAGTTGTGTGGTCCCTGGATTTGGTATTATCAGCCTGTGTTTGGCTATTTGGGCATGGTTTATGGTACGCCGTGTTAAGGCGTATTTCATCAATATCGGACGCCGACAAGTCCTATCCGTCGCGAGAGCGGTGGCGTGCTCTACCAGGCTCTTCATGGACTCGCAGCTTCAGCTTGACATACTCGTCAAATCATGTGATGCACAGGGTCACCACCTGCAATTGCTGGAGAAATTATTTGCGGAGTAGACGAGGAGGTGTGCAGTATGTCAGTGGACTCAAGGTCAAGCGCAAAGACCTAGCATATCCATATCCATGGTCTTCATGGGAGCGGCTACCCGAAACGGAATGGAAGAGTAAGTCAGGTCTCGTCATCATCGACTACTTCAGCAAATTAATGAGGCGGGTACCCATGAGAAAGACAACATCAACCAACAAGATTGCCAAGCTCTTTGCAGACCACTGGGCATTTGAGTCCCGTTTCCCAACGGATATCGTGCCCAACAGAGATAATCTGTTCACAAGCAAGCTAGGGCAGATCTGATGCACTTTGCCAATGCCAAGCTCAACATGAGATCTGCACACCGCCCGGAGAGTGATAGTCAAACGAAAAGGATGACTAGAGTGATCCGGCGTGATAAGAATGATTGGGATCGATATTTGGCGAACATTGCGACCGCATACAAAATGTTGCATACAAAATGTTGTGCATCCCACTGCCGCTTGGTTGTAGACCCTCCATGCCAATTGATTTCTTCATCCCCGATCGACACCAAGTGTCCTCCTGGAATGCTGGAGTTCACAGGCCAGTTTGCCGCTGGACTTCAACAGGTGATTCAAAGCATGCCGAAGGCACAGCAGCCAATAAGCACCACCGTGGTACCAAGCACGCCACCGCTTTCGCAACGATAGGACTTTCTCAATGCACACTCGCCTTCTGCCCCCTGCCTGTTGTGCAGCCAGCGAGTGGCAAGGTCGCAACCCACAGTAGCGACCTGCACGAATGGTGTAACGACTGCCCTGCTGTCTCCAACATGTGCTAAGGAGACCATGTACGGGTAAGCATCATACTTGCGCCTGCGGCGCGGTGCAGCAAGCGTGATGCGGGAATGTATGATGCACGTGCACTTGCGTGCAACGCGTGCACCTCGTGCACTTCCACTACTCTTAGAATGTGCAAAATGAGAACGAATCTTCTGCTAGAATAGAAGAAGATACACCGCCATATTTTTTGTCGTTTGTGCATGTGTTGTGGTCGAGCGAGGCCCGACAAGCATCTTAAGGCCCGCCCTCTCAGTCCCCCCATGGTGACTGTACACGACCTGAAAGATATTTGCATACATTTGTGAATGATGAGGGTTGAAACTGTTTTCGAATATATACAACCATCCTTCAGGTGGGATACAGTCATCATGGGGGGTTTCAAACAAATACAAGTTCCCCCTCCCACGTGCCAGGCCGCCTCTTACCCAAGGCCATCTTTCAGGAGAAGTGACCTTTGGATCACGACACTTTTGCGTTGGAGGGAAGCCTGACACGTGAGAGACGGGCTGAAAGATCTTGTATGTGGAGGGAGTTCAGTCCGCCCTCCCACATGTCAGGCCGCCTCTCACGCAAAATTGCCCTCTGATTCAACAGCCACTTCTACAAGCTGTGAACGTATCTGAGGATAGTTATCCCCCTGATTCATCTGAGGGAGCAAAAAGGCTGCGTGGCGGAGGTCTGCCTGTTAGAGAAACGGTTTTTCTTCCAGGCTGACGTGCGTCACTAGAAACTTTTTCCCTTGGCATTTTAGTATTCTGAGCAGGGAGGGGGCGGGGGGGGCAGCGTGGTATCGACCCCTGGGAGCCTTTTTTACTTTTCTCCAACCCTGCTTTTTGGGGTGCGGCGCATGCTGCGCCGTGCGCAATGCGCCGCATGGGCGCAGAGGCCGCGCACTGCAAGCGCCGCATGTATGGTAAACGGACGAGTTTGCTACAGAAAAAGCTGTCTCCAAAAAGCTGTTACAGAACTGGTGTGAACCTTGGGCAATACACCATGTTGTTGGTGGCTTCATAAGTTCATATGCTGTACACATTCCTCCTCATCTAAGGTCGTGTCCAGTATTTCATGCATCCAAGTTTATGCCTTTACTATAACCTAACTAAACTTGCAGGCAGGAAGAGTTTTGCACACTCCAACAATGGATGGGTATGCACATAGTGACAGAATTGTGAAGCATACGCATATGCAGCAGAAGAGAGGACCAAGGACAATCTACTACGTGAAATTGGCGTGCTATCTTGAAGAGGAATGAACGTACCGTGTCCTTCGGGACATCTGTTAAAATTGGAACGATACAGAGAAGATTAGCATGGCCCCTGCGCAAGGATGACACGCATAAATCGAGAAATGGTCCAAATTTTTAGGTCGAAAGGAAAAAAAAAAAAAAAGGAATGGATGTACCGTGCGGTATTCCTCCAGACAGTATCCCAGATAGTCGCCCATCATCAGAGGCACCTCTGAGAGGATAAGCGCAACAGTTAAACCACCAGTACATCCACGTTTATATGCCGTTAACGCCGTGCCTGACTCGGTGCGCCACACGGGTCCATATGCATTTGTGTCAGAGCCCCCCCAGAGGGGGCCTAAGACCCCCTGGGGGACTGGTGGTTTAAACCACCAGTAGCAATGGGCCTCCTTCCCAACCGGTGTGCAGCTGGCCGAGGGCTTTGTCCAACCCAGGACGAGGTTTGATGCCAAACCACAGAAAATAAGTGATCCACGACCTCCCTCGAACTTCGGAAACTCAGTGGGAGGAGTCGAAATAGAAAAGGGAGAAAACAAAAACAAGGAAAAGAAATGAGTCTTACCTGTTTATCTTCTAAGATCTGGTGAATGTGCAGAGAGACAGCCAAGGAGAGGAAGAGAGAGAGAGGAGAGCTATTTCTTACAGCCCTCAAGCTGTTGCAGGGCCGTGGGAAACGGCCCTCTAAGGACATCCAGAAGAATAAGGACAGCAGAATTATGCCTGATGTGTGAATGCATCAGGACAGACATTCGTCCAGAGTCATTCAGAGGTTGCATTTTGTTTGTGACGATGCCCGTCTCACATTCTTTTACTTCTTGCTCGTGGGAGAGACAGAGAGGTCCCTTATCAATGGCCTCTGACAAGTGATTGAGACAGAGGAGAGCATGAATGACTCTGGACAGTTTCCTGTCCAGATCCCTTCACAACCTGTCTCTTATACACATCTAGATGTGTATAAGAGACAGGATGACAAGTCCCACATGCAAGCGCCCCAGTCCTACACAGGCCAAACGACGGGACAAGACCAACCAGGATGTCAAAACATTCTTGTCTGCAAAGAAATAAAAAAAAGTACCAGATACATATCTATACACAGCAGATGGCCTTGTTCGACATCAAGAAGTTGGTATATTCCTATTCGGCGTCATCTTAAGCAATTCGTACCGGGACATCATAAAAAACAATCCTAGATGATGATTCCCACATAAAAGCACCGCCCCCATTGATAGGCCGAACAACGGGAAGCAACCAACTATATCTGCAAGTACCTTTGTCATGAATGAATCTGGACAGGCAACTTCCCAGCTTTATTCGCTACATGGACGGTGAGAGCTGGCTACTTCGTTTTCTTCTTCTTCTTCGCTCTTTTTCCTTTCCTTTTCTTTAACTTTTTTTTTCCTTCCTCTTTCTTGCTCACAGCTATTTGTTTTCCTTTTTGGAATTCTTCTTAGGCGGGGCTGGCTTCATTTGAGCCGGGGGTGTCATGTAAACGACCCTGAACCGAACCAACTGCCAAGCCTCCATGCATACAGGAGGTTCAACCCCCCCCCACCCCCCCCTCCGCCGTGGGAGCCACTACGGAACTATAAACTCGCTGCAGATTGAATGTTTCTACACTGACGGTAGCATAGAAGTAGACATTTCCTTTTTTTCACCTCAGAGTCTCAGACTAAGATTATCTGTGTTTTCTCTTTCCTATTCCTGGAGTTCAGATTTTGACTCTGAGGGAATGTTTGCCAGCAGATCCAAGTACAAATTCTCAGGGTTAACTTGTTGGGGCGCCGGAATTTGAAACGATAAACTGCAGAGATTCTCAATGTGCGCACTAGCTGTCAAATGATCACATAAATACAAAACAAGACTGTCCGTTGTTGCCCCAAAACGGCAAAACATTGATACCAAAGTAGTCTTAGACACATGCATATAACTACCTCCATCAAACGCCCCCCCCAAACCCCCCCCCCCCCCCCAGCATTAGAAAATAATGTTCTCAATTTCAAAAGGTGCAGCAAACCTCAAGCAATCAAGAGAATTTTCTACAACATACTGCAAAACGACAACAGCCTTCACACATGCTTTTCACCTCCCTCCATTTCACTGCCTGCTTGCCCTTCAACCCCAACCCCGTCCCACACACCCCGACCGCAGCACTTCCCCTCCGAGCACCACCATTCAAACCGCACACCCCTCCTTTGCGACACCACCACCCTCTGCACGGCCCCC